CTTAGAAACTGCTAGCAATTCAGTGATCCTTTGTGACTCTGTCAATAAAGAGTATCCATGATGGGGATGAAAAGGAAAGTAAAAACAAAGTTTTCAATGGTCTGGTGAGCAGATGGCTCTCTACCGCCTAGGCCTTCTGAAGTCATGGACAATTGAATATCAGCTTTTGACTGCACACTAGTGCACACATAGCTTCCTCAATGAAGCTCCATATTGCATGTGGTTAAGAACATGGGCTCGGGGGCAAACTTTCAGTGATCAAATCTTGGGGCTAGTAATAATATATATGGTTGCACCTACCTGATAATCCCTGTAGCTGAGAGGAGGAAGCAGGAGGACTGTAAGATCTAGGCTAGTCTGTGTTACATAGAACATTTGAGGCCAGCCTGGGGTACATAGTAAGCATGTCTCAAATAGCAATTTAAAAGACAAAACAAAACAAAACTCAACTCTGATGCCTACTAATTTTAAGACCTGATAAGCAGGTTACTTAAAAGTCTGTGCTGGGTTCTATCCAATTGAGTTGTTGGTCAAAGGAGTCCCATGGGCATCCCCAAACAACCCAAGAGAAAGGTATGTGCCTCAGTTTTTTAAACATTTAAATGGAAATAGTACTATCTACCCAAGGGAAGTATTATGAAGGTTGACCCCATGTATACAAGTTATTTATTTAAAATAATAACCGGCTACAGAGTAAGCATTCAATAAATGTTAGCTCTTATATGTATACAGGAGTCGAGAACACACACTTAACTGTCCTGTTATCATAATACTGTTCAGGAGTCCACGAGGCATCTGTAGTATACTGTCCTGCATAAACAACATGCCTTAGTTATTATTCCTTTTTTAAATATTTTTACTTTTTCTTGGGGGGGAGGGGCATGCCACATTGCCACATGGAGTACGTGGAGATCAGAGGAGAGCCTGCAGGGATACGTTCTCTCCTTCCATCATGTGGATTCCAGATCAAACTCAAGTCATCAGGCTTGGTGGCAAGCACCTTTCCCTGTTGAGTCATCTGCCACTCCCTGAGTATTAGTCTTACTGAGTATATTAAGTCATTTGTAACTATTCTCAGTGATCTTCTGAGTAAACTAGGCCTGCCCTTCACTTCACTAGACACACTTAACAGGTGTACTGAAGTAACCCTGCACACAACCCACTTTACAACCCAGAAGAGCTGAAACCCATAAACTAACTTCTTAGTTTTTCTTAGACTCAGTGCAGGAAAGGGAACATTATACAGATCAAAGATTAGTTTTCCTTCACCAATAAAAAAAATGTCAATTTCTTTTTAAAAGCCTCCAATAAGCTCCTTTCATTTAAATTCAGTGGGCTTGTTCCCACAAAAAGGAATTAGTATGTGTTTGGGGTGAAGAAGAGGGTATTGTTCAAAGCTTCTAACTGCACAAGAAATTGTCCACTGGAAAAAAAATCAAGATTTATTTTAATATGGAGCCTCCAATCACATGCCTAAAATTCCTCAACTCTCCTTTCTATAAGCTTGACCTATTACTCCTTTTTTAATTACCAAATCTCATTTAAGCTTAAAGAAAGATGAATGGGCTTCATATATTCTTCCTTTCCTTTAGCCAGAGGAAGTAATGTTTTACTTTACTTTAATATACATTAAAGATATAATCTTAGATGAAGATAAATTCTAACCACATGGTGACTGAGGCAATTTAGTCATTACCATCTTCATATACCATTTTTCTAAAAGTTGAATGAACATTTTTTAACAATATTTGTCCTATGTCTGATTCATTTTCTTTTCTGCTGTTTGCTTACTCTTTGAGGAAGGGTCTCACTCTGTACTGAAAGCTAACTTTGAAATTGTGGTGATCCTTCTGCCTCTGCCTCTGCCTCTGCCTCTCCCTCTCCCTCTCCCTCTGCCTCTCCCTCTCCCTCTGCCTCTCCCTCTCCCTCTCCCTCTGCCTCTGCCTCTCCCTCTCCCTCTCCCTCTGCCTCTGCCTCTGCCTCTGAAGTGCAGGGATTGCAGGTTTGTACCACCATGCCTGGCTTTACTCATTTACCTAATAGCACTGTTGAATACTGCCAAATGTTGGGAAACTGTGTATGGCATGAGTGCAGTCATTTCCCCAGGACATGGGATCTCCAATAAACTAATGTAAGAGTGATCCCTTGAACAATGTCTCCTCAAAGGGGTTTAAAGAAAAGTTGGATCAGAGAGCTCTCGCTAGTGGGAATTACTCAGTGTCTGGATCCCTTTGCTGAATTCATAACCCAAGTTTAAGCAGCATTCACTTCTTCCATGGTACACAAAGTATGACTTTTCATGAAAACAAAAAAATTGAAAACTATATTTGAGACCTTTAAAAAGATGGGAAGATTTGGGCGGTGGTGGCTCACGCCTTTAGTCCCAGCACTCAGGAGGCAGACGTAGGCGGATCTCTGTGAGTTCAAGGCCAGCCTGGTCTACAGAGTGAGTTCCAGGACAGCAAGAGCTACACTGAGAAACTTTGTCACAGAAAAAAGGGGGATGGGGATTTAGCTCAGTAGTAGAGTGCTTGCCTAGCAAGCGCAAGGCCCTGGGTTTGGTCTTCAGCTCCAGAAAAAAAAAAAAAAAGATGGGAAGACTGATGAGAGAGAAGAGAGGAATGAAGGGGGGGAGGAGGGGGAGGAGGGGGAGGGAGGAGGGGAGGGGAGGAGTGGGGAGGGAGGAAGGAAGAAGGAACTACATACTGTTTCCTGTTAGCTGTGCAAAAATATTCTCATTTTGAAAACACAACACTTCACATTCATAGCCAGGATATTTTAAAGTACATACTTATGAAGACCATGTATAAGTCCACTGGGCAAAATATTAAAACAAATTATCTTATTAGATGGAAAACTATTTTACCTTAAACTTTAAATCAGACAAGATTTGTTTCTTCAAATTTTACTTTTATTCATATTGGTATATAAATTCTTCAAAACACCGGTGTGTTATAAAAGAATATACTGTTTCTGTAAATAACTAAATGTAGTCTTCTCAACTAGTAGCGTAAGTCCAATTTACCCAGGATCCATTATCTGAAAGTCAGTGTGGTATAAGGGAGAAAAAAAAACAGATTTTTTTTTCAGTCAGATGATTTAATCTATGAGTTCAGGCTCTGCCTGCCACTCAGGAGGTGTAAGACCTCAGGCCAGCTACTTATCCTCTGAGTCTCGGTCTGTTTTCTTACCTATAAAATACAGATCACATCACCGCTGTTGCCAGGTAGGACTGTTATGAGATTAAACCGAGAGTCTGAGTTAAATCACTGTAGAGATGTTTTACACATCCACTGTGACCCAGCAACTGTACTGTAATTATAACTGTAATAGAACAAAACCACTAAAGAATTAAACATAGCCATTACTAGCACAAATAAAATGTAGCCAGTAAGGCCACCTGGTTGAATTTGACACTGTTCATGTGTTCACCTGGAATTGAAAGATAGCAAGGGGATGCCACCATTTCTTTTAATATAAACATTGTATTAACACAAAGAAGTGTTCCCAGATACAGCAATTCCAGGAGCATAACAAAGTCCAGCATTTTTTCACTGCCAGACATCTAAACCACTATTATCAGCACACAAGAAACCTCTATGTTTGAACAAAGCAATGTTTTCTATGAGAATATATCTATTTAATTTATAGTGACAAAATGAGACATCTCTGGATTTCACCAGAGGAGAACAACCTCAGCAACTTGCAACATTAAAATGTACAGATACAGCTCTTCAGGAGTCATGGCTGGATTGGTATATGGAGAAAACATCTAGCAAGCACAACTTTCCAACACTTACAGAAACAAACCAACTGATAGCCAGGAAGGAAACGAAAGCCATAAATTCAAAGAAATGGGCTGCAGGGAGACTACACAAACCTGCTGTTGCTTTAATTGCAGACAATTCAATTCAGCAGCTGTTGGTCCCAGGGACTAAGGTTCACTGTATGCTCTCCAATGCAACCTTGAAATACTGTCACTCACCCCCTTCTCCACATCATCTGCATGCTGCCCAATTAATGAGGAACGAAATCAACTGTCAAACGACGCATCAAAACAAAATATGATCTTTTAGCTTTTCAGCACAGGAGAACATTCTTTTAAGAATGAAACAAGAATGCAGATCAAAGTCCTTGACAATAAATGATATCCAAAGTTATCAAAAATATGTAGCTAAAGGAACTAAGCTCCTGTTGTTCAGTGGGAAAGTGAAACTTTCTCAAGGTTTCTTGTTTGCAAGGGTCCTCTCGTCTAACAGCTGTAAAACAAGCCTTAACAGCATGCATGTGTGGCTGATCAGAACCCAAGAGTTTACATTATTATGCACCAATATTTTTCTGAAAGCTTAAGCAAATACTTAAGGAACATTTTAGATCCGATGATATGTTACAATACAGTGGCTTAGGGATGGCATTTTTAGCCTTGCTGTTTCCAGCACTTTTTTGTTTCTACCATGAGAATAAACAACAATAATACATGATATTCATCAGCCTGAGTTCAATACTGAAAGGAAAATAAATTGACGGAAAAGATGTGCTCTGGAATGCTTCCCATTAGAAGTTTCCTCACTCTTAACTACATGGAAATCCATACAACCAATTAAAAAATACAGGAGCTTAAAAACTCAAGAGAAAAACAACATATTGAGAGTTTAAAAATCGCTTTTTTGCTTCCAAAACACTGTCTCGTGTGCAAACACTGTAGGCATTATCACATACTACCAGTTGCAGATGTAAGACTTGGGGAATTCAATACAAGAATACAGCAGAGAAGCATGCACAATTAAGGGATCGCGACCAACAATTTAACAGAAAACCCAGATTTCTCACAGCAATCTACCACACGCATTGCTAAGGAGTTTTATGCAGCTATTTTGTTTAGCTTATTAGAATCCCATTTGTCTTTCAGTTTAGTAAAACAGGAAGTGAAATAAGAGAAACAAATTCACTTTGGAAATCAAAGGGAAATTTCAGAGAAAAAAAAATAAAACATACTATACCTGTATATTGTACCAGGAACATTGTCACACTCTTCGTGGAACTGTTTCACGTTGTATCCTACCGTGAGTTATTCTCTCCTGACCCTCTTCTCTCCTCAAAAAGAAAAGCCAAAACACCCTAAGCCCCCACTACACACTATTCCTGACCCACCCCCCCATTGAGAGTTAAAAAAAAACACACAGTCACAATTCCGCTCAGACCCGATGCTTCTGTTAAGCTCAGCTCCAGCCGAGCAACTGAGCTCTAGCAACGGAGCATGGGGAGGTGGATTCTGATGCCAGTAGCACTTCCATCCACTTCACTTACACAAAAGCAGGCAGTGGAAAATCCAGGAGCCTTGAAGACAAGGGCTGGAACTGCCTTTTATGAATTGCTATTACTGCATGTGTCACCATCCATCTCCAATGACGGACACTTATAGGCTGAATTGGGAGTGGAGGGGGTGGGGTGGGGGAGGTTGGAGAGCAGGTGGAGAAGCAATTAGCAGTATGTGCATTGGAGAATTCGTTCGGGATTTCATACATCAGTGCCTAAAGAAACAGCATGCAGTTGACAAATCAGAACTTTACGATTTGCATGCCTTAAAAGAAATCTTAGCTCGCAGCTCCAAACAAAATAACACTTACCCACACTTCCAGGGTATAGAAAGTCACCTCTCTACTTTCTCTTTCCTCTGGCTACCCTTGTTCCTGACAAATCAACATTCTGAATGCATATTTGCTCATTTTCCCTAAAGAATTATATTTAAAAGGCTGAAAGCAAAAGAAGTATAAAGAAATTAAATTCTATTGAACGTGACATCTCTTAACAAAAACAGAAGAAGCTAATTATTTTAAGCCAACTTTTCATCCCTACTCCCATTCTCCAGGTGCAGCTTCCACACCTATAATCAATCGATCATACAACTTTTGTGCATCTATTTAACACTGAAAAAAACCATGTCTCTCTAAAACTAATTTATTTAAAGTAAAGCTGATAAAGCAAGAGCCATGTTCAGGACTCGTTTGAGAAGTGACCTTAAGAAATCACTTTATCTGAAAGTGGTTTGCTTTTCTTCATCTGCTAAAGGGAAGCACACTTCTTTCAATTGATTTTTTAAATTACCTATGAATAGAAACAGTAAGGAAATACATCTCTATAGGAAAAATATGATATACTTAAAGGAACACCTAGGAGTGGGATTCAGGGCACCTGGATTCCATTTCTACAACTTTATGACACCAGCTGAAGAACACAACTTCTCTGAGCCTGAGCTTCCATATGTATAAATTGGAGATGATGGCACACATCCTGACTGCTTCACAAGAGTATCATAGGAAGCTAATGAGATAATGGATATGGCTCTTCTGTAAATTGTAAAGGGACATGCAACTGTATGATGTTATTATTACTGCACTATGAACCAGCTCCTGCTTAGATGACTTTTTCTCATATAAGGAAAATAAAAAGAAAGGACAAATACAATTTTTTAAATCATTGTTTAATTCTTCAAATTTTCAAATTAGAATCATTGTTCTTAGAAGTCCCCAGAAAGGGATTTTTTTTTCAAAAGAAATATTTTAAAATGTAACCCATAGTAAATCAGAAGTTTGTCAAAGAAACTGGAGCCCTCTAATTCTCTTTCTAGAAAGTCTGTCCATTTTCCTTCATAGGATCTAAATGCTAACTATTGGAAAATAAACATCCCCTTTTGCTCAATCTTTCTATTTATCTGGCTCATCCTCTATTCCCAGTATGGGGGAAAAGATTTGACTTGATTAACTAAGTCTAAATCTACAAGGTAAAAATCCAAAGCCATACTTTCTAAGGCTCCGAGCTTCCTTGATACTATATATACAGTGACCAGCTGGTTAATACTGGGACACAATTTTAGCACATGAAGTCCTGGGGTGGCCACACCTGGGGTACTAAATGATCCAGGCAATGTTTGGGGACCTCCAGTTCAGCCAAATCCCACATGTCCTGATTTCCATCTGTATGGTAGTTAGCCAAGTGTGTGTCTGTCCACATGGGACAAATTCGAAACAGCCAAAAAAAAAAAAAGGCAGAAATATCAGCTGTCAGCTCATGTTGGCCCCTCCAGTGCCATCTGTGTCTTCAAACAAGTGTTTAGTCCAATTCTTGCAATAAGAAAGAAAACTTTCTAATTGCTCTTTCCAATACCATTGCCACTGATGGAAATGCCAGTAAAATATTTATCTGAAATCTATCGTAAATCAATGGGGGAAGTAGAAAACATGAATCACAAAGGCTGACCTGACTTGTAACTAAGAGCAATTGAGCCATTTAAAGTGGAGGGAAGAAGTTCAAAGGGAGAAAAGAAGAGAGAGAATAAGTGAGTTTTCTCTCTAATCACACACTTGCTGGGTCATGGCAAATCTCTTCTGCTTCCCTTTTGAAGCATTGTGAATGATACTTTTGATAACCAAAGCTGTAACCTAGCCTTCCATCTGCTTATGTATATAAACAAGAGTGCAGAAGTCCTGGAGGTCCTAATACCAGAGCTTACTTCCCCTGGCATGCGGAAAGCCAAGCATGTGGAGGACAGATCTCCAGAGGCCTCCCAACTACAACTGTCCACCATAGCCTCACCTCTGGAATGGCTGCAAAGAAAGGTATCGGCCCAACTTCAGGTTCCACAAACGGGAGAGAAAGAAGTGATTGTATTTCAGAATCAGGGCGTTTCACCTTTGGGCATTGTACATAACTTCCACAAATTCCAGTTTGAAATTCAAATCCCTCAAGTTCCTCCCTCCGAAGTGCCACACAAGGTGAAAGGGAAAGGACTGGGAAAAGGATTTGTCAGTATTGTCCCTTCAGTCAAAACAGAAAGACCCTATCTATAAGATGACTGACAGAGTCGCCCAAAGGCAACGAGCTGGGGGGCGGGGCAGCACCTTCAACCCACAGGAGCAAGAATGGAAATCAAACTATCAAAGCATCCTGATGAGAAGAAATAGCAAAAACTACTGTAAGGCTTACATTATCCTGACTTTATGGTTTAAAATCTAAGCAGAAATGACAACCTAAACCGCTTCCCCTCAGCAGTCACCCCTAAGCCTGGCTGTTCATTTTCAAATGAATTAGGGTCATTTGGGATTCTAGGTATATTGGTCAAAAACAAAAGTCCCTGTGGAAGACTTCAAAGAACCAAGAATTTGAAGCAAACCATGGACCTCAACAGAGAAGAACAACACTAATTTGCTAAACCTTAAAATGAAAATGTTAAGAGTGTAATCGAAGTAAAAGTAATGAACTAATTTGAACCAGAACCAAGTTTTCTTGTTTTCTGAATCCATCACACTTCACCAAAACCCTGAGAGAACAAGCAGTTCATGTGTCCGGTAAAAAACACACTTTAAAGGCTGACTTACTTGCGTAAAAGCTCCCACAGGAAGCAAAGAAGCAAAAACAAACCAACAACAGATAATCAGAAAGGACTCTGCCATTGTATTACTTCTTAACTGTTTGACCTTGTTCGAGTCACTTCTGTTATCTTAGCCTTACTTTGCTGGCTTGGAAATGGCTGTGCTGAGATTGCCAGTATCCCAAACCTAATAGCTGCTGCCAATTATGAAATTTAGTCTAGCAAAAAAAAATTAAATGACATCACAATTTGGCCCTGATGGCTAAGAAGCAGAGACACTCAATGATCACAACTCTCTTATGAGTTTACATCTCTAGCTTACTTTGAAAAATGTTTTACATGAGAGTTAGTAGCTGGTCTTGTTCGGACTCAAGAAAAAAAAAAAAACACCCAACAGTCTTTTTTAAAAAATAAGTCTGCTCTAAAAAGTATTTAAGAAAAACTTTTCTATCCTCAAGTCAAAGTTCTAGTCTGGTCCCCACAAAAATATGATGGGAAGAAAGTAACCTAAAATACGGTGATCACCTAGTGTATGCTAGACAGGCATGGTATTTTACATAAGTCAGTCCCCACAATACAGTGTTAAGTATTATGTACATTTTTCTAAGCAAGAAAACTTGATATTAAATGACTGCTTAGTCACTCAACTGCTATGATAAGATTTTTAACTCAAGCAACCAGAATCCATCACTATACCAACATCTTAATGATTAGGGCATACTTCCTAAGTCAATCATACAACTGAAATTATTTAATGAGTAAAACACATGCTGAGCCCATCTAGTAAAGGTAGACTTCCTTGTATTTTTATTTGTCTTTTTCAATCTTTGTTCATTGTCTGTGTGTGCATGCTCACTCGAAAGAAAGAGAGACAGAGAGAAAGACAGAAAGAGAGACAGAGAGAGGGGAAGAGGGAGGGAGGGACAGAAGGAGGAATAATGAACATAAATACCAGGCACAAATGGGGACCAGAGGGAGTTGATTCTCTCATTCCACTATGTGGGTTCCAGGAATTGAACTCAGGTCATCAGGATTGGCAGAAAGTACCTTTACCCATGAAGCCATCTCTCTGCCCCCTTGTTTTGTTGCTGTTTTAAAATGTCATCTGATGGTGTAGTGTAGTGGTGGGGACTGTTAGGTTCTCCAGGCAGACAGACCTGAGTTTCTTGTTCTGGCTTATGGACCTGACAGCGCTAAGTCTCGAGTTTCCTTGTCTGGCAAATCCAGAAAGAAGTGTGCTGTCAGGTTTTTGTAAAGTGTCACTGATGTGATGGCAGCTAGCACAATACTTGGCACAACATTTCTGCTCAATAAAAGCAGACTAGAGGTCTCTTTGTATTTTAAGTGACACAGCAAAAAAGGAAATGTTACAAAGAAAAAGAAATCTACATTTATGAAGCTCAGGTCCTCTTACGCATAGCACAGATAGAATTTGAAAGTGGTAGCCCACCCACAGCCTCCAAAATTAAGTTGCATCATATGATAAATGAGAGCAAAATGAATGTATGAATTGGTGGTATTTAAGCAACAACAAGGAGACTTGCCATGTGCTACACTAAGCAACAATTGTGTCTAGTTTCCTACAACTACTGCTTCTAAAGAGAGAGAAGAAAATAGAGGCACTGCTTGGACTACTTAGGGAACTTCAGTACCCTTCTTCCCATAATACTTCAAGTCCTGACTAGCTCCCATTTAACTGTGGCCTTCTCATACACTTTTTCGCTGC